CAAATTAACCATAACGACGCCTCCGTATCATCCGATGTCTAATGGACTCGCAGAAAGATACTTTAAAGCGAGCTCTGAAGAAAGCCTCAGGAGTTCCAACGGAAAAGGCGCTTCAGCAATTCTTACAAGTATACAGAATCATGCCAAACCAGAGAACACACTCAAACATGGCACCAGCTGAACTAATGTTCGCTAGGAAAGTTAAGTCAGTGTTTGACAAGCTTTTGCAGGAAAAAATAGAGTAAAGAATACTATGTTTACAGCGAAAAAGATACACTCCCGGAGAGAAGGTGTTTTTCAAGTGCTATAAAAACAACGTTGAGTTCTGGGAGCGAGGCATAGTGGACAAGAGAATCGGTGACCTGATTTACACATAATTAAAGGGCCGAAGAATACTCATAAAAAGGACCAAGAATCAACTAAAAAATGTTACGTTATAGAGCATGAAGAGAGTATACCAGATGATGAGGAAGACCCCATTGAGTAATGTATGATATGTTTCAGGTAGAACCTCCACAGAATACTCCTGAACCAAGAAGATCCGGTAGGAAACGGAAGTTCACAGACCCATTGGACGTGAATTCAAAACGGAAAATATATTAAAATTATGCAAATGGATCTACAAAGAAATAGACATAATCAACAACCCATTGAGGAATCCAGTTTGAAATCCAAAAAGGATTCCAAGGCTTGGGAGGTGGGTGTTGTGGTAGGATCCACCTAATTTGCATAAATGGGTACTCGACCATATAAATATGGTTGGTACCAGGAAGACGGGGAAGAATCAAGAGATTCAATCCAGAGACTCTGCAGGACGGTCTTCCCAAGAATATACAAAAGACTATATGTAAATTTTGTGTACCTTTCTTGTTTCAATACATTTTGTTCTAAGTACATTTTGTGTTGTATTATTATTCCATGCATTAGCCAAGTTTCAACAGATGATAGATAGATAGATAGATAGATTCATTGTATTAAAAGACCCGGATAGATAGATAGATAGATAGATATTAAAAGAAATCAGATAGATAGATAGAAAGATATTAAAAAGACTGTGACAGATACATAGATACATAGATAGAAAGAGAGACAGATATTAAAGGACTGTGATAGATAGATAGATATTAAAAGGACTTAGATAGATAGATAGATATGAAAAGGAATCAGATAGATAGAGAGACATCCAGATATTAAAAGGACTGTGATAGATAGATAGATAGATAGATAGATCGATAGATAGATAGATCGATAGATAGATATTAATTGGACTGTACTAGATAGGTAGATAAATAGATTGATAAATAGAAAGACAGACAGATTTTAAAAGGAATCAGATAGATACATAGACAGTCAGATATTATAAGGACTGTGATAGATAGATAGAAATACGGACAGATATTTAAAGGAATCAGATTGATAGACAGACAGATATTAATAGGACTGTGATAGATAGATAGAAATACGGACAGATATTTAAAGGAATCAGATTGATAGACAGACAGATTTATTGGGACTGTATAGATAGATAGAAATACGGACAGATATTTAAAGGAATCAGATTGATAGACAGACAGATATTAATAGGACTGTGATAGATAGATAGAAATACGGACAGATATTTAAAGGAATCAGATTGATAGACAGACAGATATTAAAAGGACTGTGATAGATAGATAGATAGAATTAATGAGATAATAATGGAATGATTTATAGAAGGGGATTAAGAGAGAGAAGGAAAGGTTGAATGAAAGTTTGTGAAATTAAAATTCCCCTTTTCTTTCAAATAGCTAAACAGAGTTACTGATAGATAGACCGAGAAATAGAAAGATAGACTGATCGATAGTTTTCATGGAATAATAAGGGAGGGTATGTTTTGAATTGGAGGAAAGCGTGACGGAGAGAGGGAAGGATAGGTCGTTATGAAAGAGAGAGTTTGTTTGGAATTGGACCTTTTCAGAATGGTTTTGCCATTCTCCTTGAAATAGTTTCCTTTATTCTGCTGTTTTACTGATGCAGGGACGAGATAGGTTCATGCCTTTCGCAATGAACGTAACGCAGATGTGTCCGGGAGTTGGTTACTGATTCCGTTTTCCATCTGACATCAAGCTTTTAGTTTGCGTCTAAAATGAAAAAAAAAGGAATGTTTTTCATGATGATTCACCCCTATTTGCCAGGACCTAAAAAAAAAACCTCCTTGGAATTTGCTTAAATTATAAAAACATATAGATCAGTAATTATCGATTGATTTGCTATTTTTATTGCCACTTCCAAAGGAATTCATTTTCCTTTTCACTTTCTTCTGTCAACCATTGATGGTTTGGAGACAAAGTTGGTAAAAATGAAAAAAATTTTTTTGAAGAAAAAATTTCAAAAAATGAATTTAAAAAATTCTTTTTTATTTGCAAAGAAAAAAAATATTTTTTTTTTTTTAAATAATTTTGAAAATTTTAATAAATTTTTCCATCGTTTTTAAAATAAACAAACAATTTTTTGTTGGGAAACAAAAATCTTCGGCCAATTTTCAGATTTTTTCGGGAATTTAAACAAAAAACTTTTTTCGCAAAAAAGCAAAAAAATTTTTGATCCGACGAAAAATAAAAATGGCCAAATTTATTTGAACGAAAATCGGAAAATTCTTCATCGATTTCAAACTTTTGAAGAATTTCACCTTTTCATTCCAAACAAAGATGTTCGATTCTGTTAGTCTTGACCCCCACAAATGATCAGTCGGGATCGACACGAAAGGGGGGAAATAATTACTTACCCCAAAGACCCCGAGGTGGATTTTTGTTTTGATTCTTGTCCATTTTCATTAAAACAAACAATTTTTTTAAAATTATTTGCACAAGCAAAATTTTTTGTTAATTTGACACAAAAGAACGAAATGTATTTTCTTTTTGTGTTAATTGAATTTTAATTTGTAAAATGGCGGATATTTTTTTGCTCAAAAAGAAAATTCTTCCAGACCCCAAAAAATCCTCCTTGTTCTTCAAAAAAACTCAGGCCACAGACAATCAAAATGTCTCCGGAAAGGCGACACATGTCCTGGGGCAGAATTCCGTTCCTCCTTTTTAAAGGACATTACGACCATTTCCCCAGAATCACTGAATTGAGGATCGATCGATCGATCTTTTAAAATCGCCAACAAAGACGCGATTGTCTTCGTCGCCGGCAAACAATTGATAAAATGTTCAGGGTTCGATCCTAGAAGACGGCATTCACTTTCCATCTGCAATGCCCGGATTAATCTGCTCCACTCGATTATTTCTTCCTTCAGTGACCCTAGGAATCGCAGCACCATTCTCGGAAATGTCACCAGCCAACGTCCTTTTCTTGTGGAGCAAACGATTGATGGAGCGATGCAGAAAGCTCTGCTCTCACCAACTTTAGACCAGAGGACGACGTCCTCATCGTCGACGTCGTCCCTCGACAAATGTTTAATGTGTGGTGCCAGATCTTCGACCTTCCCAAAAAGGTTTTTCTTTTTTTGAGGGAATGGCGCCATATTTTCTGCCGTTCAGACGTCATCACTTTCATATTATCGCACAACGCTGCCAACTTGAGCCGTGCTTCTTCCACGAAGGTCTCGAAATCCCGAGTGAGTTTTAAGCATTTCGATTCGCAATCCGTTGACAGTTAGTCAATGGATCGCGACGTCTTCGCGTACGTCGCCCGGATGTCGATTTCAAACTGCTGGAGTTCCCGCCCAGGTGGGGCTGCGTATCTTCTCATTCGACGCTTCCTTCCCTCACCGACAGAGGACGGGAGGACACTGAGGGAGGCGATCACGTGATCCTGGTAACATATTTTGCACAGGCACACGTTGCACCGCTGGCAGAAGGCGTCCGGATTGACGGTACCGTCGATAGTCGTCCGTCGTGATGACCTGACGGCCTCCTCCCCTCGACATGCCCGACAAGTCTTTGGTCTCGTGTCGGAGTGGGAACTCTCGCAGGTCTGGCACAAGAGTTTCTCGCATTCCTGGCACCAAATCTGGACGGTCGATTCTCTCCCTGTTCTCTTCAAAGCACCTGTCGCACCTCCATTCTGTGGATTGCAGCTGACGGCGCTTCAAATACTTTTCCAGAAATGGTGCCAGTCTCAAATCGTCACTGGTGACAGGTTCTTGGCACTGGGGACACTGGCCATTTTTCCAGAAATCATCTCAATACACGACCGGCAGAAGGAATGAAGACATGGTAATGTCTTTGATGACAAATCCAAGAACTGGTCGTATTTTCGAGCATGGAAATGTCTCTACTTCACTCATTGGCCGCCATTTTGAAAATTTCTCCCAAAGATAAAAATCAATGGTAAAGAAAGAAAAAAAAACAAAAGGCTCAATGAAAAAAAAAACAAAAAAACAAAAAAAAAGTCCATTTATAAAAAAATGTCCATTTAAGTAAAAGGACGTAAATGAAATTTCGTGATTTTACAAGAAAAGCAAATCGATATCCGCAAAGGAAATTTTTTCTAAAAATCCCAAATCAATGAAGGGTGGGGGGAGATGGGGGAAATTGGGGACGAATAAAATAATGAGAGAGTGGGGAACAGAGAGAATTATTAATAAAACTTGTCATGCAAGTTTAAGGCATTTTATTGGACGAAAATAGTCACACCACTGAAGTGGAGGGGTTATGAGATAACAAGGAGAGGAAAAGCAAGGATTGAATAACTGAAGGAAGAAAAGCAAAACGGACCTGACATCATTACAGTTTAAGGCATTTACTGGACGAGAATAGTCACACCTTAATTGGACCCATATATACATAAAGATGACATAGGTAGGGTAAGTGAAGGGGAAGGAAGGAAGTAAAAGAAAGAAGAAAGGAGGAAATCGCTGATATCACTACACACCAAAGACATGTATACTGATAGACACATATATAAGGCATGGACGAAAAATATATTAGACACACACACACACACACAAATATATATATACATATATATATATAAGGCTAAAAATAGTATTCCATTGTTATAATTCATTACATTCATCAGAAAAAAAAGCTTTTGAAATTTCTAGATAGATATGAAAAGGATAGATAGATAGATAGATAGATATGAAAAGGATAGATAGATAGATAGATAGATATGAAAAGGATAGATAGATAGATAGATAGATATGAAAAGGATAGATAGATAGATAGATAGATATGAAAAGGATAGATAGATAGATAGATAGATATGAAAAGATAGATAGATAGATAGATAGATAGATATGAAAAGGATAGATAGATAGATAGATAGATAGATAGATAGATAGATAGATAGATATGAAAAGGATAGATAGATAAGTACAGACTAAGATAGATAGATAGATAGATAGATATGAAAAGGATAGATAGATAGATAGATATGAAAGGATAGATAGATAGATAGATAGATATGAAAAGGATAGATAGATAGATAGATATGAAAAGGATAGATAGATAGATAGATAGATATGAAAAGGATAGATAGATAGAGATATGAAAAGGATAGATAGATAGATAGATATGAAAAGGATAGATAGATAGATAGATATGAAAAGGATAGATAGATAGATATGAAAAGGACTGAGATAGATAGATAGATATGAAAAGGACTGAGATAGATAGATAGATATGAAAAGGACTGAGATAGATAGACAGACAGATATATATGAAAAGAACTGAGATAGATAGATAGATAGATAGATAGATAGATAGATAGATATGAAAAGGACTGAGATAGATAGACAGATAGATAGATAGAAACATATTGCGAAAGAAAGTCGAAGAGAAAATAATATACATATAACAATGTGGGAAGTTTGTTGCCAGGCAACGAAATATACACGACCGATCCTGCCACCGTGTCACCCCAACATGCACATTATAAAGAAGGTGTGTCACTTCAATAATTCGCCAAAAAACAGATTTGTATGATGAAAAATGTCCCATAAACAAAAAAAAACGAAATTTTATGAGAAAAGAATTTATTATTAATAAAAGAGGAAGGACAATATTTTTTTTATTATTTTAATAAACTTTTATTCGTTTCTAGCAAGTTCGAAATTTTTGGTTGAAAATCTTTTTTTTTCTTAGGTCAGAGGGCATGATATTTTCTAGCATTAGATATTTTAGAGGTTTTTTAAGTTGAAAACCGTTAATTTGGAAAATTCTTGCGTAGATATATAGGAGTGAGATAGACAGATAGATCTGAAAAGGACTGATATATATATCTATAGAGAGAGATAGATAGACACAGACAGATAGAGAGAAACCGATTGCGACAGACAAACGAACAGAAAAATAATTTCATAAAAACAATGTGGAAGTCACACCTGCCTGATAGATAGATAGATAGATATATGAAAAGGGCTGATATATATAGAGAGAGATATATAAAAAGGACTGAGATAGATAGATAGATAGATATATATATGAAAAGGGCTGATATATATATATAGAGAGATATATGAAAAGGACTGAGATAGATAGATAGATAGATAGATATGAAAACGGCGTAGATAGATGAAAATAGGCACCTTCAATAATTGATTAAAAACTGCATAAAGCGTCATGAAAAAACGCGCTAAAAAATTAATAAAAAATAGTTTTATCGTCAGAATGTTATATATATTTATTATTAGGAAAGTAGAAATTTTTTTTTAATTTTAATTATTTTTACTTTCCTTTCATTAATTTCAAATTTAAAATCGCTACCGAAATGCTTTTTTCAAAGAAAGAAATGAAAAAGCAGACGATAAATGATAACCGATATTTATTGGAAAATTTCATCAGAAATCTTAATTAAAAACGTATTCTTTTACCACAGAATCCAAATCAGGCTTTTCTTATTTTTTATTTATTTATTTACTTATTTATTTTGTTTTGAATTGCATGAATTTCAGAAAAGAAAAGGGTTAGAAAAATGTTTTCTCTAACTATGAGTTTCAAAAAAAAAAAGCACAAAAGAAAATAAAACGAAGCATTTCTGTTGGATTCGTGAAAACATTTCGGTAAAAGTCTGATTACTTGAAAACTGATAGGAAAATACTGACTACAATTGATTCCGTTCCGATTTCGCTGCCACTGAAACTGTTTTTTTTTTCCTCTTAAGACAAACAGACAAAAAAATGACGTCGTTCTTCGTATCGCTTTAAGCCAAGTGAGCTAAGGGAAGGCGCTGTGACGTCAGCAGAATTTAAGGCATTTCATTGGACGAATAGTCCCACCACTGGACAAGATGTTACATAAGATAATAAGGGATGAAAAAGCACGGAGAGAATATGTGAAGAGGAGGAGGTAAAGTGAGAAATAAGCGCTGTGACGTCATAGGAGTTTAAGGCTTTTTATGAGATCATAAAGGGAGGTAGGGAGGGGTAGGAATGAGAGAAAGAGAAGAAACGTGAGAAAATGAAAAGAAGGGAAAGTAGGTATATGAAAGAGGAGGGGCTCTTTCCATTATTTCAAAAAAAAATATTTGAATGAAAGAAATTTTAAGTATAAAATAAACATCAAATGTGATAAATCTTAGTTAAAAATATAATTTCAGATATATATATATATATATGTATATGTATAAATATATATATATGTATGTATATATAAATATATATATATATATGTATAAATATATATATATATATATATATATAAATAAATATATATATATGTATATGTATAAATACATATATATATATATATATATATATATATATATATATATATATATATATATATATATGTATGTAATTTGTGTATTTAGGCAGCAATCCTTTCAGGCACATTTCACTGAATACGACAGACAAGGTGCTTTTATTTAGTTTCTTATACAATTTCTAATGCGATCTAATATTTCTTTCATTTTCAGATGGTAAATTATATAAAAACTGTCCGAATGTTCTTTTTATCCAGCACTTTGGTATACATTTAGCCATATATTCAAGGATTAAATATTTTACCTGCTAAATAAGAAATAGTTTGTTGCATAAATTTATTCATATAAAATTTTACTTTTTTTATAATTTAATAGTTAAAATATTTCATGGTTTCAAGTGGGCAATACGAAAAAAATACCCACGACCGCTCAGCACGTCCTCTTTTTGGGAACTCCTAGCCGCTGGGTTTAGTAAAAATATATATTTGTGCACGTGTGTGTGTAAAAATCTTAATAAGTCGAAAAAACATCTATATCTATATTTTCCTTAAATTACTATCTATCTATATATCTGTCTCTAGTGTCTGTCTTTCTTTCTGTTTGTCTATCTCTCTCCTGTCAACTATCTATGTGTCTCTCTGTCTTTGTATCTATCTATCTATCTATCAATCTGTTTGTCTGTCTGTTCGCCATCATGCCACTCCATCTAGACACATGCAGAGAGAGACAGAAAAACAGGCCGAAACAGAGGTGAATGGAGATAGATAGACAGAGAGACCAATAGATATATAGAGAAAAACAGACATGTAGATAGATAGATAGACAACACATAGATAGATAGATAGATAGATAGGCAGAAGAACACAGATAGAGAGAGAGACCGATAGATATATATAGAGAAAGAGAAAGACAGAGAGAGACAGACACATAGATAGATAGACAGACAGAGAGACCGATAGATATATAGAGAAAAACAGACAGACACGTAGATTGACAGACAGACATACAGATAGATAGATAGATAGAGAGAAAGGAAACACAGACAGAGAGACAGACACATAGATAGATAGACAGACAGAGAGACCGATAGATAGATAGAGAAAACAGACAGACACGTAGATTGACAGACAGACACGTAGATTGACAGACAGACATACAGATAGATAGATAGATAGACAGAGAGACAGACACATAGATAGATAGATAGATAGATAGATAGATAGAGAAACACAGACAGATAGATAGATAGATAGATAGATAGATAGATAGGAAATTTATGTTGAGAAACAAATAGAAACTTAGATAGACAGATAATTGTTTTTTGTTCGTCTCTTATCTCCAGTATTGACAAAGTAAGCCAGTAATGTTTGCATAAACCCCTGACTACCTTTTCCTACGTGATTTTTAATACATGTCATCAAAATTTTTTCTCCGTCATAAATATCTTGTCATGCAGGAAAGATAAGGTCCTTTGTCAGTGATAAGAAAAATTTCGACATTGTCCACATTTCAAATGCAGTCAAAGCAGATAATACACTTGTAAGTGCTGTGTCCCTCTCGACGTAACCATGACACCCAGGGACATATCACGACGTACATTTCATTGGTTAAATAAACAACAATTTTCTTTTCAATCTAATAAAAGCAAGATAAGAGGAACAGATCAGAAGACATGCAAAGACAGGTATACAAAATCGTAATCAGAAGAGCAAATAAAATGTTTCCACCCCCCGACCGAAGCAATATATGAACACACCTTACTAGATCTGTGTCTACATGTCTGTCTGTATATCTCTCTCTATCTCTATCTCTCTCTATCTCTCTCTCTCCAGATAGACAGACAGATAGAGATAGATAGATAGATGACGGACAGAAGAACACAGACCGACAAAAAAATAGACTGATAGACAAGAGATGCCGATAGATATACAGAGAAAAACAGATAGATAGATAGATAGAGAGATAGATAGATAGATAGGCAGACAGACAGACATACAAAGACACAGGTTGATAGATAGATAGATAGATAGATAGATCTATCTGCATATCTCGTCTGTCTGTTTTTTATCTCTCTCTCTCTCTCAAATGAGAGCCGGTTTATGTCCTCACTTATCAATATGTTCAAATGTTAACAAATGAAATCATTCAACACCGCTCTGACTTTTCAGAAATTCGCCACCATTAATAATAAAATATATACTATCCATTTTTTTAATCAATTCGCCCCCAAGCAAGGCAATAAAGCCACTAAGACACTTGTGTTCTATACTTCCTCACTTCTGGGGGAAGTCTTGACCACTACGCCAAATAAACAAAATGCTGTATAGCCCCCTCATTCTGGAGGTCTCTTGCTTGACGGGGTCGATTCTATAACATTGTATCTACTTTATTTACATTATTCAGACTATTATCCTCATCTTTGTCGCTATATTTATTACAACGTTCCGGCCTTCTTCAGGTGGTTGGAATATCGAATAGTTATAGGTAATTCCGGGGATGGAATTCTTTACCTTTTGGAATTTTGAGAAGAGTTTTGACAGGGGATGGCTTAGGGTAATTAATTGTGCTGGAAGTGGTGGTATGGTCCTGAGATGAACTTTTATTGGGGAATTTTCTAAGATTGCCATTTTAGAAGGAGTGAGAGATGGATCACAGGAGTAGAGGTGGAGTCATGAGGCGTTGTTTTTGTCGAAGGGGAAGACGGTACCGAAGAGGAAGTATCAGATTTTCTTTGAAGATTCTTTCTTTAATATTTTTCTTTCAATTGATTAAGTTTCCCAGCCTTTTCAAAAAGATGGTTCCATACTTCAACTTCTGTTGCCGAATTTTATCCGAATAGCTGGTCGGGGACTTGCCCTTAGAACTAGTAAATTGAATGGGACTGTCTGTGGCGTTAACCGTAGAACGAGGACTGCTGCCCGGAACACACCTCTAACCGTACCAACAACCTCTCATTCCCTTTATTTCTCAACAACCGTACCATGGCTGGCAAAGGATGTTCCAAAACATATAGGATTTCACCACACAAGTCCTGGCTACTGGGCATGTCATTACAGGCGAGACGGAAACAACAGACTCAGCAAGAGAGCGATTTGGGTTGGCTGGGGACAGAACTCCAGAGGCTTTATCTGGGCAAGAAGAGGAGCGGTGATCAGTCTCTCCACACTTCGAGCAAGTTGGTATTCGGCCTGTGAATATGAGAGGCATTGTCTGACCTTCTACATTTAGGCAGTTGGGACTTACGATCTACCATTATCTCAAAGCTCCATCCCCCGGCCAGGTCATTTGAAGAAGCACTAAGTATCTGTCTAGAATAGCACAGATAAACGGCTAAGTGTTCTTCGATAAATCGAGGAGAGACCTCATATACTGCTATATGGCTCCTTCCTCTGTCTTGGTATTCAGTTCTCAGAATAAGATCTTATGAGGTCATGAGTGCTAATAGTTTTGAAGTCAGTGGGCGTGGGTGACGGTATGTCCTACATGAAAAACCCTTTTCCTTTCATGACTCTCTGCGATTTAACCCCCAGGGACTTTTTTATTACGGTATCATTTGTGAAGTTAGAAATTTTGCGTAAACGCTTGTCGACCACAAAGACTGACACAGTTCATTTGTCAATTCTTTGCAGTTCCTCGGGATTTGTCAAGAGCCCATCTTTTGTGAAAAGTTGAGCGAAGCTCTTGGCTTTCTCCAGAAACACTGTAATGTTGATCTTGTTTTGGTGGGGGTCGTCCAAAAGAGGGATTCTCCCCGACCGCAATGTTGTCATCTTTGTTGTTCTGGTCAATATTTATTTCATTCATTTTGAGTAAATTTTGGCCTGTTTCGCCACCATATTTTCCTCCAGAAACACTTGAAGTTTGACTATTTCCAGCCACCATACCTACAATAGTATTTAGGCCATTTCCGGCCACCATATCTTTAGTTGAATTTTAGCTATTTCGGGCTACCATATCTTTTTGAGGACTTCACAATATATTTAAACTTCTCCGCATTTTCGTCGGTATTAAATTGTTTATCTGGTGGATATTTTTCCTTTTTCAATTCTAAATAGAGTTTTTCTCGCCGTCTTTTTTGTGCCTTTTTTTTCTTTTCAAAGCTTTTTTTCTTTTTAAATAAAAACAGAAAATAGATTAAAACAATAAAGGATAAATCACAATTTCATTTAGTCGTAAGAAACAAAAATAAATTTAATAAGATAAAACAGTAGGACGCGCAAAAAGATTACTTACAAAATACTAACGTAACACAAACGAGAAAATATTAAACTTTTAAAAAAGGAAACGAAAGACGAAAAATTTAATATACGATAAAAACAAAGATAAAAACGAATAACAATCACTAATAAAACGAAAAAACAGGAATACACACAAACGAACGGTTACAAATACAAAAAGTCAACCTTCACCCTGGTTAATATAGACCCTTTTTTGTGTACCTAGTTAATGTGAGTGAATGCCGTTCCTGGCCTGTTTCCGGCTCCTTACTTCTGTTATGAGCCAGGTTGAGATTCCCAACCTCCCCAGTTTGTTTTGGCACCTTTTTTCATCTCGACTGGTACATTCTTTGATTTCCCCGCGCCCTACATTTATTTTTCTCTTTCCGTTAGAGAGTTAACCACTTGATTCTGTTTGATGAGAGAATACAGCAGCAACTCTGATGTTTTTGTGGGGTGAACGGGTCCTACTAGTATCACAAATTCTTTCCCTCTTTACCTACTCTTCCACCCGCAAACCAAGGGCCCGTGAACTTTGAAGTGACCCGACGCGAGAATGTCCTCGTCCCAATTTTTCGCAGCTATCAAGCGGTTGACCATAAAGTTAATTCCAAAGCACCATCAGAATCTCCTGCTGCGATTCACGGATCAGACCTACTGCTGTTGATTGAAATTTGGCCATCACACAAACACTGCGTGATTTCCGCTCCATCTTCCTGCGTATCCGGTCAAGGACGAAGAAGAGAACCCACGTGGCTATCTTTGGGAACAGCAAAAATCAAAAAAAGGATTTTCAGTTTCGGTCTGACCAGTGGCAGATGAATGTCGCTGGGCAAAATCGTTCCGATTCCAAATAGACTGGCCCCTGAGTTGAAGAAGACAGCAAAGTTTGTCGACTGCAATGAAACTGATCGAACCAACGAAACACCTGTACGAGATGCTGTGGACCCCGAACACTTCCGAAAGAAAAGGAATCCAGGAAAATTGCTGGCCGACCAAAAATATTGTTTTAGCATAAGATCTCTCGCTTCGGCGAATCAGAATTTTAGGTGGAAATATCAACTCGACTAACAGATAAGTTGATTCTGTTGGCTTGATCTTTTTTATATATATATATATATATATATATATATATATATATGTATGTATGTATGCGCTTGCGCCTTCTGTTCTTTCATGGCCCCTTCCTTTGTTAAATGAATTTTCTTTTTTTTTACCTGTTTATATATGTATAAATAAATGTTGTATTTTGAAATCCATCGTCTTGTGTTTGTTCTTCATTGACTCCCTTGTGTCGCTTCTATTTCGGGAGTGAAAACTGAGAAAAGTATCCCATGTTTTTTTTTAAAATCCGTGGTTCGTCTATATGCTACAAATTCGTAACACTATCTATCTATCTATCTCAGTCCCTTTCATATCTATCTATCTATCACGGTCCTTTTCACATCTCTCTCTTTCTATCTATCTATCTATAAAGGTAAGGCAAAATTTCACCTCTCTCTTTCACAATCTTTTCCTTCTCTCTCTTTATTTCTCATTCCTCCCCTTCACTACTTTCCCTCTTTTGCTATCTCATGAAACCTATCTATCTATCTATCTATTTGGGGGACGGAGATATCTGAGTGTGAAACTGATGATACTTGTACGAGTCTTCAGCGACCTGTTTAATTTACATTTAGGTCTGTCTCTCACTCTCCCTTTATCCCTTTCTCTCTTTCTCTTACACTCTCTCTCACTTTCCTTTATCTCCATATCTCTCTCTTTCTCTCTCTTTATCTCTAACTCTCTTTCACCCTTTCCTTTATCTCCCTTTCTCTCACTCTCCCTTTCTTTCACTCGATGAATGTTATGAACCTTGTTTTTAATAACAAGTTGTATAAGGTCTTTTTTAAATCGGCTAGTACTGAGGATGCCTGTATTTACAGCTGAAAGTACTTGCAGATTAAAAATATACCTTATACAACTTGTAGTCATTAAAAACAAGGTTCATAACATTCAAGGTTAATGAAACTTAAAAAATATTCACGAAGAAGTTTCGCCATTTTATAGTCACTCAGTTTCTTTTCTTTTTCATTATTATTATTATTAGTATTTATACTTATTCTCAAAGAGTATAACAATAAATAGTAGAGAACAAGTGAAGGAAATTTTGATTCTTCCTCTGATTTCCAATACATACTTTCTAAATTCTTTAATGGCATTAAGATGAAACATGGCATTTAAAAGCTAAAATATATTAAGATGGGCTAAATGTTTTTGATTGTAAATATTTTTGGGTATAACAATGGCGTTCACTCAACAAGAAAAAGGCGTTAAAATGGTGTCCTTGTACTTCCAAATTTTTAACCATCACATTTGTTCATCGTTATTTATGAACCAAAAAATTATAGTTTAAGAGATGTTAAAAAATTAATTCCATATTGAGAATGCATGGAAATTCATAGCAGAAGGATGGGTGTTTTTGCTATATAAATATATACGGGATATATATCAATATATATGACACGATTTGTGAATTGAACTGCCTTCAAGCGGATGAGCCCGTAAACCGGACCAGATTTTAGAGCCATTAAATGAAGTGAAAAATTCCTAAATTTGTTTGGCGTATTTTAAAGGAGCGTACTCTGTGTGACACTTTATATTTTTAAGATCCAATTATTGGAGACTGAAAAAACAATATTTTGTGACTTTTGATAATGTTATAACGCGTTTGGCAAAAATTGGACGGTCTGTTGATGTGTGCCCAACAAAAATAATCTGAATTTTGAAAATTTTTAGACATTCCATGGAAAACTTGAATTGAACTCTTTAGAATATGTTATATCCTTA